TGAATTGGAACATTGCTATAATGACAAAGGAGTAATAAACAGTGAAAGATAACGATGCTCATTTAAGCAGTATGAAATGACTGAGGACGGTTTATTGCATTTGTTTCGTTGTCGTTGTGGTGCATTTCCTCTTTGTACACATATTACAGTGTTTGTGTTTTTGTAACAGAAAGATTTTTGTGCTATTTAGATTTTAGAAGCATTGCAGAGAATACATTTCTTTGGAAATTTTGTATTTGTGTACTAATGGTAGAAGGTAGTTTACTAAGAAACAGATACCTTTTTTTTTTCTTTCTTTCTTTTTATTATAGTGTGTTGTCTCCTGTTATGTATTCATTTCTTGCTCATAACATAGACATCAGATTTGTAGTTTGTAATGATGGTTACTCTTAGTGCTGTCCCTGAGCAAAACGACATCAAAGGCAGCCATTTACACCACCATCATTGTGTTCACAGCATCACACACATGTTGCATGGCCTTATCTTTGATATCTTACATATTTTTTAAATAAAAGAAAAAAAAGTTGTAATAAAAGAGTAATATGCGTAATGTAGTTTGGTTTGTGACAGCCTTTCTTGCCTTGCCTTCCTTGCAGCAAAGTCATCTATGGCTTCATTTTACTATAGCTGTTCGGGAAACTACATAATTTATGATAAATAGGGAATGTTACCTGAGACACTATTTCAATTTAATAGCCTTTAACCCAGTGGTGCAATGTAAACATACTCTTTACTGTTGTTTTTTACGTAATTTTGTTTGCACGTAGCTGACTCCATAAGTGCTCAGCCACCAAGGAGCCAGTTCGTAAGCCTATATGTCCTCAGCTGGTTTCATTTTTCCTTGAGTTTTCAGGGGGGGGGTTCTAATGTTATTGATACTGATGTTGTTATTGTCTTTAACCCCTTGCCGCCGGGTGACGCCGATCGGCGTGTAAACAAAGAGCTCGAAAGCTGGCGTGCAGCCAAACGAGCCGGCGGCACGCCAAAGCCCGGCGAGCCAGTGATTCGGGCTGATGTCCCCTACTCACGCGCTCAAAGTCAGCGTGCCGCCTTTGTTTGTTTAAGCGTAGAGTTTTTTTTTTCTTTTGTACACCCGGCGCCATTGGGTTAATATTACTAATACCATTAGTAATAAATAATAAAAGATATTCTTTCCAAAATTCAAGGACAAGGGTAAACAGCTCAGTTAGGTAGGACTAGTAATTGACTTCTTAGTGATTAAGTACTTGTAGAGCCATCTGTGTGTAAAGACAATGAAATGACAGAAGACCACAGTGGACCAACAGTGGTTTAAATTATCTTCACTCAAACCAGGGAAGATTGGCACCCTTGGCATTTGCCCTCTGCCTACCCTCAGGGCCAACTCTCCAATTTGTTAATGAGAAAGAGTAACACTGTTCGTATAGCGATTTACTACCGATTAGCATACTGCACTCGTGACAGAAACTAAGAAGATGATGACACCTTCATGACGAGAATTATTATCTTCGTTATTTGAAAAAAAGAGTTAATTACAACGATTATCCTTTTCAGAGAATGGTCATCACTCTGAAGGAAATGAGCTTTTATCCGGTAATTAAGATGTATTGATTCATTAACCTTGTTCGTAAAACAACTTGTTAAAAGTCCACGTTCAAGCACAGTGGTGTTCTAAAGGTGCACATTCTCACCTTCTGTATAAAAAGGAGATTAAATGGTTGCTTGCCCATTTTCTTTACTATTTCTTTGCGCATTTCCTATTATTATTATTGGTATTTGTTGATATTCTTTTCTCTTCTCTCTTTTTGTTTTCATTTTCTTTTCTTATAACCAAAATGCCAAGCTGTGATCGCTTGCAGAGTCAGGGCAGCAAGATGCATTTGCAAGTTCTTTGCTTTTGGGTGAAGCAGTTGTAATCAAGAAGGCTTTATGTGATATAAAACTAACATCATGATGCATTGTTGCTATTTTTCTGTCTCTTTCTCTCTTCTTCTTTTTTTGGAAGCTATTTGAGTAGTTGCATGAATGATTTTCCATTCATTATATTTGTTATAAAAGTGAACCACTCACTGCATTGTGAGTGTAGATTAGAAAGCACGGTTTTACTGTTTTGATATATAAGTGTTTACTTGTAATATGCACTCTGTTTTTTAAATTTTATGGCTGTTTATTTGTTGGCAGTCAATTGAGATACATTCATGTGGATAAGTTAACTGATAGTTCTTTTTTCATTAAATCCTCTTTTAGCAAGTGCAAAACAATTCTTTACTAAGGCATTATACTTATATTCCCAACTTTCCAAAAGGAAATAGAAATAAAAGTAGGAAATAAAATAGAATAACCCATTTCCTAAAAAAGACCGTTTATATGCGCCCGCCAAGCCACAGAATGTAATATTACTCAATTCGTCCACCCTCGTGATATTAGGTAAGCCACCACAGAGGGATTTAGTTGTATTCCTTTCTTTCTATGGATAATATTGGAATAGAGGAAGTATTTCAGTAGGTAAATAAAGGTTTTTGTTGAGAAGGAAGGGAGTAGCAAGAAGGAGAATACCATTGACTAAAAGTGAAAATAAAAAAGATATGAATGGTGAAAGGAAAGAGATGAAAGATGGGTTGTATAATTTCTGATTATTTGTCCTTTCCAGAGGATGGTCAGCCTTGTCAAGAAGCTCAAGGTTTATTGGGTAAAAGATGTATATAAAGAGCTTGACCTTCATTTTAGAAGCACCTTTTTAAGCACTGGATTTTACTCATTACCTTTTTTTTTTAAGCACTAGGTTTTACTCACAGACTTTGTGTACCAATTTGCAATTATCATTCACTTCCATAGGCACAGCTCACAAATCTGCAACAAAATCTGTACAAATTTGCAAGTACCACATGAGCTGCATGTTGCCAAGCAGCAAGTTTTTTTTCACAGATGGTTATGCTTCTTAGGATCTTATTTTTCCATGTTTAATATCATAACTGGAAGAATAGGAATACATTTATGGTTATTTTAATACATTCCCATGGATATTGAATGATGGAAGGAATTTAATGTGGATATTTGACACAAAGGCCATCATCTGGCATATATGACTTCAGACAGTTTAAATAACATCATCAGCGGTTGATAAAAAAATAAATAAATAAATTAATTAATTAATAAATAAATAATAATAATAAAATAAAATAAAATTCGAGCACTTCTTTTGTATAGAGTTGTACAGCAAGATTTTTTAGTTTTACTTGATGGCTTTGTTGCATTTCACCGCCGCACCGCACTGAAAAAGTTCAAGCATGATTTATCCGTGTTTGTTCTTGTAATTGTTCATTCTTTTATTAATTTGTTCATTTTTATTTTTTTTGTTTATTTTATTTTTCCTTTGCTTGCTCACTTTCTTTTTTAATCCTTATTTTTAATTTGCTTTAAAATTTTGTATTAACTGCTCAGGCTTGATAACTAAAAATGGTTTATTTTTGAATGGCCTCCTTGTCGCTACTAAAGCATGCAGAACAATAATGTATTTTAATGTTTGTATTCTGTTACAGGATTTTTTTTTTTTCTACTTTATATATTAATCTATTTATTTTTATTAATATCTTTATTTTTCTGGGATCAGTCAAGATTATTTGGAATTTTTGTTTCAGGTAGGCAGATCTGATCTTCTAAGTGTTTATTAAATGTGTTTTTTTTAGGCATCTTCATTATTGTTATTGTTATTATCATTATCATATCATCATAACAACTTATCATCAGTATCTTTCTAATTTTCATCATCATGAAAATCATCATGATCAACATTATCACTATTAGCATTATCAGCATAGTCATCGTTAATATCTTTATATTATTTTTATCATCATTATGAGAATACTTTTTTAACCAAAATTACAGTAATGAGAGCTTTGAAAATAACATATGTTGGAAAGAAATAAGTCTGAAAAAAAATATATAATTACATACTGTCCTCAGAAATTTATTATATAAATGAGAGGATAAGGACTTTTTTTTTTTTTTTCTTGCTTCCTGACGTTTGCGACTCCAGAGTACACGTGGGTGGACGAGGACTACCTGGAGGAGCTGCGAGACCCCGGGACGAGCGACGTCGACTCCAACTCCTCGGCTCTCATCCCACAGCAGGTGAGGGGAAGGGAGGAGGGAGAAGAGAGGAGGGAGAGAGGGTGGGTGTGTGAGGGGTGTGTGTGTGTGTTTGGGGAGCTGGGGGAAGGTAAGGGAGAGAGAAATGGGGGGAGGGTGAAGAGGATAAGGGAATGGGAAGGGGAAAGGAGGGAAAAGAGGTATGGAGTGGGAGGAAAGTGGGGGAGGGTGAAGGGAGGGGAAGGGGAAGGGAAAGGAAGAGAGGCATGGAGTGGGAGAGAAAGAGGGGAGGGTGAAGAGAGGGATAAGAGAAGGGGAAGGGAATGAGAGGTATGGAGTGGGAGGGAAAATGGGGAGGGTGAAGGGGAAGGGAAGGGAAGGGAGGTATGGAGTAGGAGAAAAATGGGTAGGGTGAAGGGAGGGATAAGGGAAGGGGAAGGGAGGAGAGGTATGGAGTGGAAGAAAAATTCTTGGAGGGTCAAGGGAGGGAAGGGGAAGGGAAGGGAAGAGAGGTATGGAGTAGGAGGAAAATGCTGAGGGTCAAGGGAGGGAAAGGGAAGGGAAGGAAAGGGAAGGGAGGTATAGAGTGGGAGGAAAGTGGGGAGGGAGAAGGGGAAGGGAAGAGGGAGGGAAGGGATGAGAGGCATGGAGTGGGAGGAAACTGGGGAGAGTGAAGGGAGGAAAGGGGAAGGGAAGAAGGGAAAGGGGGAAGGAGAAGGGGAAGGGAAGAAGGGAAGGGGGAGGGAAGAAGGGAAGGGGAAGGGAAGAAGGGAAGGGGGAGGGAGAATTGGAGATAGGTGAAGGGTGGAAAGGAAGGTGGGTGAAGGAAAGGAGGGAATGGGAAAGGGGAAAGAAATGTAGGCAGGTTGGGTAAGATAAGCAGGTGAGGGGGATGAAAGGGAGTACGAGGAGGGGAGGTAAAGGGGAGAGGAGGGGAGGTAAGAGGGTGAGAAAATCAAAATAATAAGAAGGAAGGAGAAAAGAAGATGCAGGAGAAGAAGGACAGAGATTAGAAAAGTGAAAGACAAGCAAGAAAGAGAAGAGTGAAAAGAGATAGGGAGGAAAGGAAGCTGCAGGAGGAGTGAGATACTAAAGAGACAGAGGGGAAAGGAGGGAAGTTTGGGAGGAAAGAGAGACATATTTTTGTGGGGAATTTATTTGCTCTTTGTTTTCTGTATTAGTCTTCCTCCTTTCTTTCCTTTGATAATAATTATTTCTTCAATATCATTTGTTCTCTCAGTTTATCATTTTCCATTATATTTTTTTATTTTTTAAATACTTTTTACAGTCATTATATATCTTACTCTATTGGTACTTATTCTTTATTATTATTTCATGTCATGTCAGTTTTTTTTATCTTTTTCATTTTACCTTTTTAAGCAATAAGTTGAAGATGAGTAAATTCATCTAAAAATTGCATAAAGGAATTATTCAAAGGGAAAGAAGGATTATTAAACCCTAAACGGAAATCCAACCAAAGAATTAAATCCTATGTCATCCAGATTATCCATGAAGAAAATATTAAATCCTGTCCTATACCCACAGGCTAACAGACGCCCCAGTGTGCCAGATACAGGTGGATCGCCGGACAGCTCAGGACTCCCTATACCCCGGATTCCAGCCTCTCCGTCCTCCTCGGGGCAAAGCGCTGCGTCAGAGAGATCTTCGACGAACCTTCATAAGGATGTTCAGGGACAGGTAGGAGAGGAGAATGGATTTTTTGTTGTTTGTTTGTTTGTGTTTTATCTTTTTTTTTTTTTTTTTTTTTTTTTTTTTTTTTTCTCTCTCTCTCTCTTTCTGTTCTCTCTCTTTTTCTCTTTATTACCTTTTTTTTCTCCTTTTTTCTCTTTTTTTTTCTCTCTCTGTTTTACCTCACTTTTTTTTCTTTTCTTTTCTTCCCCTCTTTCACTTTCCCCTCCCTCCCTCCCTCCCTCCCTCTCTATCCACTCCCTTTCTTTAATTACCTGTCCAATCCATACTTTTTTCACCTTTCCCTTAGATCCCATTTCAACATTTGACACATACAAACTCGTTATTTTCAGGAGAAGACTACCAGTACTTTAACACACAGAGCTCAATCCAACAGCCAGATAGACGAGGTAGGGAGTAGCATCAGCTGATAAACTACTTTGTGACAGACCCCCAAGCATTGCACTTTTTATAGTATGCGGTATTATTTAACCCCTTGGTGCCGGGTATGACGTGTACGTACGTGCTATGCCCACAGTGAGTGCTTGTTTGACTAACTCCCCAATGAGCCAGTTACGAGCACCGCCCGTCTTGCCCGTTTACTTGTTTCTTTGATTTACAAAATATTTTACGTAATCTTATTTTGCTGTTACTAATGTTAAAAAACATTATAAAAATTATAATGTTTATGATAAAAACAACACCATCGATTTTCATAGCTCTAGTGAAAAATACGTTTTTCCCGCCATTTAAATCAGGCGTTAGCAGAGCCATCTATCGGCAGACATTTCTCGAAAAACATAGAAAGTGGGCACAATATTTTCCCCATTTTTTGTTCATTTTCCCCGGCACCATTGGGTTAAACAAAATATTACAGAAGAATTTTAATCATCACACAATCAGCCTGTTGTCCATATGCTTTGTGCGTTTATATTTTGGTTTGAACAGTGATTGGCTTTTGACATGTGAATGCCTAATAATCTTTCATTATATGTATTATTGTTCGTGACTTCTGGATGTCGTCTCCTACGGTATAAAAGCTTGTTACCTCCCACCACAGGCCAGCTCAGTATGCAGTACGTCAACATCTGCCGAGGTCCGCTTGAAGCCCATGCCTCTCATGAGCATCTCCGAGATCCTTTTCCGATACTGGAAGATACAGGTAGCCTTGGTTTGTGGTTCTTGAGGGGGGCAGTTTGATGAACCAGTTTATTTTATGTTTTATTTTGGCTTTTATTTTTTATTGTTTATTTTTCTTTTATTTTGGTGTTTATTTTCATTTATTTGTTTATTTTTATTTATTTTGGCTTTTATTTTTATTTTTATTTATTTTTTATTTATTTATTTTTTTTTTGCAATTTTTCTGTCTGTCAGGAGTAATTGGGAAGCATAGATGTAGTTTTTGATGTGAAGGGATAGTTTTTTTTTTCTTCTTCTTTATATATATATAAAGTTTTTATATTACTTGTTTATTTTTGTCTTATTGGTCATGAAATACAAGTTCTTATCATATTTCAATTACTTATTTAATGTTAATGAGAACAGTTAATCTTAGATATCCCGAAATATTTCAAACCAACTTCATATTCTCGAGTTATATAAATACATATTTATTCTTCAAAAAGTACATATCCATTTTCATAATCCAATTTAAAAGACCAATAAATAAATAGATAAAAAAGTACATATCCATTTTCATAATCCAATTTAAAAGACCAATAAATAAATAGATAAAAAAGTACATATCCATTTTCATAATCCAATTTGAAATATCATTTAAAAGACCAATAGATAAATAGATAAAAGAAAATTTCCTCTAACAGTCCCGGCTGCGGCTGTCATCGGTCGCGCTCCAGAGGTGGATGATGTCGGTGCTCTCCATGGTGGTGGTGTGGCTGGCCATGAACCTAGTCCTGTGGCTGAACTACGACCCGACCTTGATTGACCTGGCCAACTTCTTCCTCCCGCTGGCACTCCTCCCCCTGCTGGCCTCCGCGTATGCCGAAGTCAACCAGGAGGGGCTTAGGCTCCTGAAGGTCGGTGGATGGGAAGGGAGGGCAGGGTGGGATGTCTAGGGTTGTGTGGTTTTCTGGCTGGCGTATATGTTCATTTTCTGTGGGATCTCTTTCTTTCTTTCTTTATTTCTCTCTCTCTCTCTCTCTCTCTCTCTCTCTCTCTCTCTCTCTCTCTCTCTCTCTCTCTCTCTCTCTCTCTCTCTCTCTCTCTCTCTCTATTTCTATTTCTCTCTCTCTCTCTATTTCTCTCTCTCTCTCTCTCTCTCTCTCTCTCTCTCTCTCTCTCTCTTTTCTTTTTGTCTTCTATTTTTCTTTGTCATTTTCCTTCATTTTATTCTCTCTCTTAGTCAGCTAGTCAAGGAAAGTGATAGTGATAATGATAAAAAATGTATGTATAGTACTTCTGTCCCTAACTGACATACAGTCATCATCAAATATAATCTCACTTATATTCGTCCTTCCTGCAGTTCATTTGCCCAGTGGAAGAGAGGCTACAGATGCTGTACGTCCTGCAGAACAACCCCCTCCAGATGACGGTGTACGGATTCACCCTGTCGTACTCCACAATCACCACGGCAGCTTTTGGCATCTTGCTGGCTTTTGCGTCCAAGGTCCTGATTCAGGAGATATCGGGACCCAACACATCCCCTATCGCCCAGTGATGGGACTCTGGGTTGGGATGTGCCTTACCAGATATTTATGTATCCCTATAGTGGGAATGGAGCAATGGATGTCATTCCAGATATATGTTTGTCTTTTTTTGTATGGTATATGTTGTATGGAGGACAATAGATATTCTTTTATAGTCTTATGATATTTTAGTGATGGTATAATGCAATTGTAGGCTATCTAAAGCTCTTGCATAGGTTGGTTAGGTATACAGAAGGTGAAAGGTGAAAGGGAGGTATATGTTAGTAGAGGGAGAGCAGCTAGTAGCTATGTATAAGTCTTTCATTATATTGAGTATTATAACTAAGTATATTTTTTAAACTATTGTTGACCATGGTTGCTTAGAATAGTAATTATGATTCCCAGTTGATTCTTTTTAATTATTTTTTTAGCTAATGGCATTAGCACCAATATAACATTCCTAAACTAGTTTTCTTATCAGCAGATATCTCTGTATTTTGCACTAGCATTTTGTAGTTTAGACTTTCTACTCACACATTACTTGATCAGTTTTTGCCAATGATAAGATTAGGAATATTAACCCAACTAAATCTGTTAACAGTGTAACAGGTATATAGTCATTCTTTTATGAACAATAAAGACATTGTATTTAAGAAGTGAAGCCAGAAAAAAATAAAGTACGATTGAATGAAGAATAACCAATATAGAAAAAAGCAAAAATTCATAAAATCATATTGCTCTCGCATTAGAGCCCGTATTGCAGCTTTCTTCAGGTACACAGTAAAGGATCAAATTGCCTCCTGCAGAACAACCTCTGCTGCATGGGATTATATAGACGATTATTCCAGATACTGATAAATGTGGATATAAATTCTGCTGACTTTATTTTTGTTTTGTCATAATAGAATAAATGAATGATTGGATATTTTTGCGGACTGAAATGACTGATTTCTGAAAGTGAAGCTAAAATTTTGGAGTGTAAAAGCTGTGAATGAATCTCTGTACATGTGAAGCATAATAGAACATACAATACGTTAGATATTATTGAGGTAAGATGGAGTGGGAATAATTGTGCATAATACTGTGTTTTAAGATATTTTATTATACACATGATTGAAGAGTTGTGTCCATTGTGATTTTAGTCATATTTATTCCATTTTGTATTTTTTTTTTTTCTTTAATATCATACTTTCCTCTTTCTCTCCCCCTTTTAATAGTCAAAGCTTGTTTAATTACATTTGAGGCATCTAGGAAGTGTAGTTCCTAAATGTCCATATATAAAACCTTTTTAGAAATATGCCCGTCAAAAGGTGTTTCTTCCTCTTAAGCCAAAAATCAACAGAATTAAAGTTTGGTTGGATTGTAAGCTTGAGACCACATTACAGATGACAAAATTATTTTTTGTTGGCTATTTAGTAAGATAGCGCTATACTTGCTGAGGATTAGGTTGCCAGTAACTCATTTTGCTTATGGCCATCTCTAAGTAAACACCTTGTATTTGGATCTCATGTTTTGTCTCTCTCTCTCTCTCTCTCTCTCTCTCTCTCTCTCTCTCTCTCTCTCTCTCTCTCTCTCTCTCTCTCTCTCTCTCTCTCTCT